AAACACGGCACATTAAGTTGTAACCAGCGGTATTATACTTTAGGGACAATACGTCAGGACAAACTTCAAGATGCAACATCAGATAATCCTTTATCTCTAGGAAACTTAACAACCCAATTTCACAATTTTGTCAATACCTAAAGGTCTCGTGCTCTGCTGGCCCAAGTGTCCTTCCCCCATGTGCCAATTTAACGCAACACTTTTGAGAAACTACCGCATCTAAGGGATTCTAAAGGGGACAGAAATAAACTGTGTATCCTCTCACTCTCCCCAGACTTGCAATGCCAAGTAGATTCTGGTATGGGCTATATACCAAAGCCACCAATAAATGGAAGCACAGGGCAGAGATGTTTAAATCTAAATGACTGTAGATCTTAAGACTTCAGGAAGAAAAACAAAAGTCAACATCTGAGGAAGAGGTAGAGTTCCTACAGCTAAGGATGGATGAAAAGCATCTCAGAGAGGGAAGAACATGAATGAAGGCTGGTTTGGGAATGTTCCAGGACTAAGTACTACTTTGAGGACAGACACATGGTATAGTACAGACAGAACTGGTAAACTGGGAACACAGCTTAGAGTCCCGAATGCCAGGCCAACGATGATAAACAGATTTAAAAACAAGTACCTATCGTGTTTGAAGACTACTGACACTAGAACTCAGAAGCCAGGTGAGGTCTGGAGGTGAAGACTCTGGAGTTACTTCATTCAGATCAAAAGGTGAAAACATGTACTACTAAGGAAAAGTGCAGAGATGAAGAGGAAAGTCAAGGACAGACAAAAACAAGTGGGGTAGGGATGCACTGCTCTGGGAAACCAGGCCAGGGGAGATCCTCAACAGAATGGTTGGCAGCATCCAATCCATTGAAGAGATGCAGTCAGATAGAAAGACCACTGGGCTTGACTGCCATGAGGCCACTGGTGTCCTCAATACAGCAGTGTCAACAAAAGGAGGAACCTGGTAGATTTCACTTTGTTGAGAAATGGAGGTATACATGAAAAGAAAACCCAGATTCAAGATTTCAATGTTTTTCCCACTCTAAAGTTATTTTTATAGCTGAGTAGGTTTATCTTTTATCTGAAAAAGGAGAACAGATTCCATATCTGGCTTAGAAACATTCTAATTAATAAATCTCAAAGTGCAACATTTTGACTTTGTGCCATGCCAAGTACAAGATGGAATCCATCTGGAAATAAATAAAAAGTAGCCTTTTGTTTTGTTTTACCTTGTATTTTTCTAAGCTTTCAAGGGAGCTATATTCATTATCTGTGGACTGTTAAGTAAAATCAGTCCAGTGCTTTAAACCATAACCTATCTCTCAGCTTCAGTAGCCATGTATTAGCTACAGAATTGCAACTGGACTTTTCCTAGATTCTAAGAAGGCTCCATGAACAACTGTAATTGGATTAGAATCCAAATGAGCAGAAAATAAATGCCATGTAGCTACCTTCTATAAAACATCCAGGATAGTCTTTGTTTACGAATATGAGCCGTGAGAACAAGTATAAAACACTTTAAGGAATGTTTGCGAAGGGGTTTACTAAAGGTGGATGAATATATTAGCAAAGCTGTGATTCCGAAGGGGTAAAAAAAAAAAAAAATTAAATGTATACTGATTTATCAGGAAAGCAAATCCCTTAATAAGTGGAAAGGAAAAAAACATATAAAAACTCATCTTATTTAAACCTTATCTGGATGTGACCTGTTTTAAAAGCCAACAAGAAAGTCCTTTCTGAAAAACAAAGCCCAGAAATAAGAGCCACTTAAAATTTATTTTGATCTGCAATGCCAAGAGTACATGGTAAGGTTCCAATCTCTTAAAGTCAATGGAGAAAAAGAGATCCTTGGAATACAGGGAGAGGAACAGTAGAAAAATAAATCCCCAAATAACATTAAGAAAAACGAGGGCAACGTAAGCATTGATAGCATTTCCTATGGTTTCATCAAGTAAACATCGGGTGTTAAACTCTAATTAACAGTAGGGTTTAAAAAAAAACTCAACTACATAAAAAATCAACTACATCATCAATTGCAAGAGGAAGAGGAAGGCAAAACCCTAGATAGTTAGGTAATAGTAATGGAAGTTTTCAGCCTTTCTCTGTACAGTATGCTCACTATACCAAGAAGGAGGTTTTATGTAAGATGGTCACCATACTCATTAAGATGATTCCTCAACCCATTTTAGAAGAAATGCTTTTCAATATTAAAGATTATTTCATTACTCTCCGATGTAATTATTTCTGACTGAATGTGATCATTTCTCCACAGGCAAATTTTCTTATTTTAAAGCAGCCATTTATAAAGGGTTTTCACCTGAAAGAAACATCAGTGAAACAAAACAACAAAATTAAAAAAAAAAAAAAAAAAAAAAAAGACAAGCCTGCCCTCTGGCTAAGACACAAACCCAGACAAATAAAAGGCAGTCCAACAGGTATCTTCAAGCTGGCAATTCAACATGAAATGGCTTCAAGGGCAGACCCTGGACCAAATTTGGGGGTCTGACACACTTCCTGCTCCTTGCCAAAGACCCTCCTAGAACTGTCTTCTAAAACAGTCTGGGGGATGTCTTGGGTCCAACAGTTTTCGGCCCGGCACTCACCAAAATTCTTTAAAACAGAAATGGAAATAAAAGTGCCATCGGAGGTTGAGGAAGCATCATAAATTTCACTGATGAGGGGATTTGCACCAACCTTTAGATTATATAATTATCAGAAGTGAAAGATAAGAAGATACAAGACATTTAAGTAAAATACACCTCAGATGTCTAAGACAGAGAATTTTTCCTGCTTTTCCCAATGCGACAGAGTAAATGATTAAAATTAGCCTGACTTCAACCAATAAAGAACTGTTAATTGTATTCATACTGTACAGTGGGGTCATGGATAAAAATGTAACTTTAAAGAAATTCTGAAAGACAAATAAAGACATTACATTTATATTTTAAAATATATCATTTTTACTACATTTAAGCTGAAATGTATCATTCAAAAGACAGAATAACAACAGCATTTAAAATAAATGGAAGTTCCTTATTATTCTTTCGTTAATTTTTTTCTAAATGCTGAGGAGTTTATTAAAATGCCACAAATGGTTTCTCAACCATGTTTTAATAACTAATTGCACATTTCAGGCCTAATCTCACAGATGCTGTCTATAGTTTTCAACCTGCCAAGGGGCTTATGGCTGTTATGAATAAAGAAAAGTCCAGTTTCTTGGAAGATAAAAAATCCTTAATTCAAACGGACTGTTTTTATTTTTAAAGTTGGCCTCAAAACAAATAAATGTTGGGAGGTATTTTAAACTACTAAACTACAGGGAGAAGAATAATACAAACTAACTCCTTATTAACGAACATTTTATAACTAATTCTTTACCAACTGAAATTTATACACACGAATCTAAAGAGGCTTGTATTGTTCAGGGGTTTGAAAGAGCATTAAGTCTAAATTTTCTGCAGTAACTTTTTAACTTTCAGGATGACTTCTGGATTACACACCTGATTCCCCTATTGTCATAAGGTATTGATAGAGAAATAACGTGAAGGTACCAACTGACTTATTACATGATCAGTTCCCCACTGCGTATGAATAAATGACATTCTAATTCTATTCTCAAACCCACCCACAAAAGGAAAAATGAAGAGTAGTGAATTTCATGTATTAGGCAGACTTCCTCCACAAACCTCACACCTGTCTAGTGTTCTATGCAGAAATGGAGATGGCGACCAGACACGGGTTCTAAGCTCAGTTCTTTTTCTCAGTAGCTATGTCATCATGGGAAATTTCACTTAACTTCATCCTTAGTGCTCTCCTTTGTAAAATAAGATGCTTCTGCGAGAATCGATAGTAGCTTATGTCCTCAGCTTCTATCCCTCAAAAGCAAACATGATCCTATGATCACTCTGAATAATACCTGAACAAAAGAACAACGAAGAACCAAAATTTAAACTTGAGTCGTAGATTTTAGAGGGACCATGCAAGGGAAGTTCAGTCAGTAAGAAGTGTCTCATCAGCCAGCTTCCACTTTTCCTCAGCAAAAAATGTTCAAAGGCTCTCAAGCCTAAATCCACATTTCCACGCGTCCGTGGGAAGCAGAACTCTAGACACTCTCGCACACATGACGAAATGTGCCCATGAGCAAAGGAGACGGGGGCCAGGTTTTAGAACACAAGCACAGAACTAAGAGAATTCTCTTGCAGGCTACACAGTTCACTCAACATCTGACCTCAGACAGGTGATTAAATGTATTCTTCTGTTCATTTTCTTTTGTACATGGTTTTATTGACGGAACCTAAAGAAATAAAATGCATATATTACTGCGCTCAGAAAATCTGCGCATATTTTTATGATCACGTTTTGTCAAAATATAAGTTAACCGATTATTTCTACAAAGGTTACCCAAATAAACCCCACTTTCTGGAGAAATGATCTATAGAATTGTTTAATTCTTTACGAGCACCCAGGGTCTTGGAATTAAATCTAAAAACACCATCCTAGCTCTTCAATTCTATTCCAAATAGGTTAATTTTTTAAAATTATTTTTTCAGAATAACACATCACACATGACTTGAAATCATCCCATTAGCCCAATTCCACAACATGCTTTTGATTACACTGAACTGGACCAAAAGTTTTGGCAAAATGTTCACCTGACAGCAGAGGAACCAAAGAAGGAGGTGGTTGGTTGAAATGTCTACATTTCTACCAGCAGAGACACCAAAATACTATGAAATACACTCCACTAGGAGTGGAGCTAATGCGCGCTCTCAGAGTCAATTTCACTTCAAGAGAATAGTGTGGGTGATGTGTTAGGGATACTATCTAGTTCTTTGGGGCCTGATGCATTCGTTGCAAACGAAAAGATCTTAAAATAGTCTTTAAGATGAATGTGCAGAGCTGTTGCTTCTTTATAGTAGTAGCCTTATTTGTTTTACACATAACCATAATTTAAGGATGCCAATCATTTTAAGCAAACAGCTTGCAAAAAATAAAATACGGGCAAAACCAGAGAAAATCATCTTTGTACTAAAACATCCTTTACATTAGAATATGTCAGGTTAAAGCCGCCACTGTACATATAAAGTAAATTTTAACCCTGTGCGCTGACTGTATTTTATATTTTCATATTCATTGTGAAGAATTCCACAAGACTGTCTTAACTTAATTTCAAAGCTGGTTAAAATACTTTTTCTTTCTCCTTCAAACAAATTTTTAGACACAAATTGCCTAAGACGCAAATGAGAAAAAAAACCTAAATGTCATGTTATTTTACACCATTCACAATATGTGCAATTAGAATAAATATATGATTTTCAAATACCACTCTTCTTTGAAGTAAAAATGAAAGTGTGCAAATGACATAAGACAGGATTTCTCTGTAGTGACTCCTTAGCAATGACCACAACATCTTATCACAGAAAGGTGTGGCTGGAGAGCTGAAATCACTGTTCTCTCAATTTCTGATGCATCAAAATGAGTTTCTGAAAAGAACACAAAAGGAAAAAGTATACAAAATAAATGCAAAATTAATTTGCATTTAATGGTAAATAACGAGGGTTCTATAATAAGAAAATCTTAAAAAGATGAAGTTTTCCCTCTTCTTTCGGAAAGGCTTAAAAAAACAAAACTAAATATTTCAAAATCAATGGACTTCAAGCAATCCAAGAGAATTTGGAAAACATTTCTCTAAAAACCAATCCAGGGCACAGGATGTCAATTTGGAAATAATGGAAACATATTTCGCTTTAAAATTCGAAAACTTTTCAAAGACAAAAATTCAAGTTAACATCCCAGTGATTAACTCAGGGACTGCTTAGCCAAGAACAACTTTCGGCACTTAAAACATAAAACTGTCAGTTTCCTCTGCTTGGAGACAAAACATAGAAAAAGCAAACATTCACTGCTATATTTTCCTAGACATGAAAGACAGAACTAACTTTTATAAAAGGTGATCACTCTAAATATTTCTACCTATTATTATATTTATGCCATAGCTCCTAAAAATCAGTTACAAATTCCAAACCTCAGAACCATCATTTGTAGATGGCTACTAGTACATTACTCCCTAAATCTTGGTGGAAATACAATCATTTATTGAACTTCACTAGTAGAGATCAAGGCACAAATATGTTAAGCAGCCTGTGCTTGATATCATTGAATATAAGCTACTATAAACAAGTAAAACTCTTTACTAAAAAATCTCAAAGGACTGACAACATGGTATTTGGCATTGTATTTCTTGCAAATCTAAAGCATACTGATGGTGAGAATAATTTAAGTCCTCTCTTCCCTGAATTAAGATCCATTCATATCAAACATCATCTGTGATCAAATGGCCAAATTCATATTTATAAACTTGGAATACAGAGTTTGGTGAAAGGACTGAGTAACTAACATTGTCTTAATCTTTCTGCCAGAAATATGTCACAGTTGGTGCTTAAAATCGTTTCAAAATTATACCACAACTTTATTTAATTTCATTCAATGCATTTCCTCACAGAAATGGAATGGCAAAGGCCTGTTCAAGAGCAAACAACAAAAGCATATTATTATTTTGTGGTATACAAGTTTCTTCCTCTTCTTATACTGCTCTCCCCCCAGAAATGTACATACTATGAAGAAATGTAGGTAAAAAATCCTACGGCTAGCACATTTTTCCACTAAAAGGAGAAATCTTTATTCCTCCTTAAACTGAAATATCAGATCCCAAAGAGGAGGAAAAAAAATGGTAATAAAGCACAGCAGAATAATCCAGAGGAAGCATGCTTGCTCTCAGCATAATTTTCTTTAGCATCCTGAAAGGAACGACATCACACTGCCCGTGATCTCTGCTTACTCCTCTGAAAACCATCCAGAGGATTTTCAAAAAGGAAAAATTCTAGTAGTGCTTTCAAATGCCAAATTAACTTACAGGACTCCCAGTCCTGAAGGAAAACAGCACAGTAGCTAGCACACCAGAAGCTAGAGAATGCTTTTTGTCACGCAAAGCCGGAACTGATGAGTGTGACCCCAATGGGCTTTATCTAAAATTCCCAAGTACCACAGGCAAAGAGGTCAAAGTTTCCTGTGTCAAAATATATAAATAAATAAAGCCATATATTTCAATAGTTCCTTACGTTATAATGGATTGTACAGTATCCATATCCCCCTTCTGTTCATACACACACACACACACACACACACACACACACACACACACACACTTTTAAATAGCAACTGAACATGACACAAAAAGGAGGAAACCTGCTTACACTTATATCTACCCCCCTATTTTCTATTTCTATTCATTACTGGTCTCATTTTTAAGTGTTTATTATTGTCAATGATATATCAAATTACTCGGGGAGTAAGAAGAGCATATATATACATAATTAAAAATTAACAATGATGTATTGAATACTTCTGGAAGTAAAAATACATGATAGGTATGTACATAAATACACACAAATATGTGCAACACTGAAGAGTTAAATGTCTGACAATTTGAACATGCAAGATCATGTACACATATTTATACATAAAATGTGTACATTATGATTTTTACTATCAGCCTAAAATCTTACAAGTGACAGTTTTCTTAGTTAAAGCTTATCAGGCGACAAAGAAAAAGCAAAATGTAAATAATTAGGACACTCTTTCAACAACAGAAATTGTCTTAAGAACAGAACATTTAAAAGTAGAATAAACAGTAATGGGATAGAGAGTTAAATAAAGAGTTCACAGTCATTGAGGTTTAGATGACAGTGAGTTTCTTATAGTAATTTACCACATCTTTCATGCAATGAATGTAATGCAAATTTGTCCTAAATGCAATTCTTAGAATTTGCTGATAAGTTACAGAAAATAATGTTTCATATTACTCCTTGCTTGGATGTAATTGCTTCCACTGGCCACTTGTACCTAAGTTATTTTCCAAAACGTACCTAAGTTTGAAGAACTGACGTGAAAATTTTGCAATAATACTTCCAATAATAAGCTAAAGACGGTATTAAATATAATCACTTGTGTTTCTTCAATTCATAATCAAATTTATTTATTAACAAAGAAGTTCAGCTGCCAGATACAGTAAACACCCGATTTTAAAAGATCTCAAAGGTATATCCAGGAACAGTTGATAAAAGAATTATTAATCACTCAACAATTGGGCTAACATGTCGTGAGAAAAAGTAGTAACACGGGCCTTCATTAAAATTAATATATATATTAGGGGCGCCTGGGCGGCTCAGTTGGTTAAAATTAAGATATATACGATCAGTCTTAACTTCATCAGTTGAATGGTATTTTTAAAAATCAGAGTGAGTGAGATTCTCTTTCAAAAATATTTAATGGCATCATAAAGTAAAGCTGAAACAAAAACCAAAATCTCTTTCAGGAACTTTTATATATTCAGAACTACTTAAGAGTATTGAGAGAGTAACAGGCTGATGTATTTATTTCTACATCTTTCAGAGCTAAAGATGAGGTCTGGATAATGACATCACAGAGAAGTCACAAGGAGAAGTTAGTTTTTAATTTGTTTTGCCAATCTTGGTCTCATTTCAGAACCAAAATTATAATTAAATTAACCCTCAAATAGGTGTTGGGATACATCAAGTAATTAAAATGAATATTACGAAGGTTAAAGTCATTTAAAAAATATGTAATATGTTAAAATTCCATTTAGTGCCTGTAATGAGAAACATTCTATACAAGTGAGAATATAGATATGTGTACGTACATGTACACACTAAGTTAATATGAAGTCACAAGTTCATATGCTGCACTTGTGCATAGCTCAGAGAAAATAAAGCTAAAACTAGATTAGTAATGCTTGATCCCTTTGTACATGAAGTGTATCACGTAATAGAGAAAAGATTCCACAAACTAGCTCCTGCCCTATATATTTACACTATTTAGAGATGTCTCTGATCTCAGACGTAATATATATTTCTATAAGGAAAAATTGCAATACTGACCCACAAGAATCCGCTGAAAGCCATATTGTAGAATCTAATCAAGAAGCACATGTTATATTAAAAGTATTTGCTGATTAGTAAGTTCCATAAATTCTCTCCAGATTCTACAAGTAAAAAGCTCTGAGGCTTTGAAATCTTTTTTATCTTTTTTTCCCTACAGCTAAAATGTATCTAATGTCTAAAGAGCAGTTGTGGTGTATCTATCATCCTATACTGGGTTCATTCTAGGTTATTTTAATACTCAAATAATACATTATTAATGTTTTTTAAAGCTTAGGTCATACACATTAGATACTATGAATATGTTTATTATTCTTCATGATACTATACTATTCACTATCATGAAGACAAAGTGATTAACAGATAAAGCAATTATAAATGCAAATAGGAGAACCATGCTCCCTTCAAATAAAGGAAAAAAGAAACAAAATAAACTATGGGCACTTGTATACTACTTTCTAATACTATCTACTATAGAAGGCTTAAAGAGCTGACAATGAGTCATTGTTTATTCAAATGTTAAACAAATTGAACATATAAGTTAACTTCTGAGTTAGAAGTATCTGGAACATATTCCAGAGCCTATTTTGACTGTGTCAATTACCTAGATACCAAAGTTGTTGTATTGTGTTGCTTGATGAAATGGGACATACAGCAACCCTCAAAACCAGTATTACAAGCCTGGCAAATATCATCACATTGGGGTGACGCACAGAATCCATCACCCTAGGGAAAAACGCATTGGGTCACAGTACGGAGTCTTTACATGTTCCATATTATTTCTACATAACGTTTTGGGATAGAAGTGTAAACTATAAAGTGCTACCCCATAAAGAGATATATTCAGAAACAGCACTCTCACTTAACTGCTCCTCTCAACAGAAACAAATGGGACTTTAAAAAATTTTTCTTCGGAAGCATTTCTGAAAATATGGTGAAATGTGGCATTTTGATTTATAGTTTTCTTTGTCATTTTTAAAATTGCTTAGTAAATTCAGAGCAGATATAAGTATTATGATAATGATGACTTCACTAGGTTTAAACTCCATACCCATTTCAAACTTCTAGACTTCATAAAGTAGGTCATGTAACTCCTTAAGAG